ATAGGCAGTAATCGGGTTCTTGGGTGAAAGTAGTTCTATGCATTGATTGCAGTTATACAACCACTAAATAATTCTAGGGTGAAATTAACGTGTGAAAGCTTTGAAGGGACATCATCAGGGACCAAGTTCTTGAGAGAAATAGCGCAGTGAAGCAATTAGCATTTTTAAAGAAATGAATATTCATCCCAAAATCGGAGCCTTAATGTTTGCGCTGTCTTTCTTAAACCTTCAGTTCCTCAGTCCACATTAGCAGGTGCTGAAGTTCATGAAGTGACAAAAACGGGACTTTAGATGTTCTATCAGACTTAGCACGCAGAAAAGCGTGGGACTGTTTATGTCCTTATCTTTTGCTCTGCGTCATGTCTGGTCACCTCAATGTTAGCAACCCTTTTGTCCGAGCAAGTAAATTTTATTTTCAACAGCAGCCTTCTCATAAAGTTGGTCATTTATGCCAACAGCACAAAGCAAGACTGGAAAGGTCTGCATTGTCGGAGGAGATTTACTTTGATTCAGACCTCACACTCCACCACTTGCGCTGGCTCTGATAGACATTGAAACTAGGCCCGAAGCTATGTTCACCCTTGAACATAATGAGTAACACAGCCTCGACAGCCGTCTGCAGTAAAGACTTCCGTAGATTCATTAACTTCTGAGAGAAGAAATTCCTCTTCATCTCTTCAATTCCTGCTCTTTGCTCTGAGATTACAGACTCTGGTCCTAGATACTCCCCCAAGGGGTAACAACCCTTCTGCTCCTACCTTGTCAAATCCATCAAAAATCCTGATAAACAAAACCACCCGTTTCAAGGATTTTACTCTGCTTTCGTCCTACTGTTGCTGCTGGACCTACTTAGTTTTTCCAGCATTTTTATTTTGCTTGTTTCAGATATGCAGTACCCTCAGCTCTTCATTTTAGTTTGCACATGAGAATCTTGTATGTTTAAATAAGAAGCTGTTTTATTTTTTAGAAATGAGGCTGACTGGCCTCAGGGGGAGGTGCTTCCTACCTTCTGTTTCCTCTCTATGTGATACGTCCAGCTCTGATGTGAAACCTTTTGTTTAACGAAGCTGCTGTGTCTTTGTTTTTCCCTATGCCAAGAATTCATTGTCATTTTAGAGTTTGTAGAAGAACAATAAACGAGCGTTTCTTGACCAGGAATCGAACCGGAGCTACAGTGGTGAAAGTGCTCAATGCTCACCACTACATCATCAATCGATGCGCCAATCAGCATTACAACGTTTCTCAATTAAATTGCTTTCGACTTCTGATTTTTCATTTTAGAAGATGTTAACCAGAGAAGTTTTTCTGACAGTGTGGTCGTATAATCAAGTTTTTATAGCCCTTCGGCCCAGAGTCAAGATTCAGCGACCCTTCTTCTGAACTGGCCTGAACTTGGTCTGGGAGATACATCAGCTGCACCATCCGGTCATGTTAGCGGGATCCTTCCCACAAAACCACAGCCTGGTCACAGCAAATAAGGGAAATATTCGGTCTCTTCCCTATCCCCGTTACTCTGCCATTGTTTTGACATCATTGTGCAGTTTATACTTCCTTACCGCATTCTTCCATGCAAGCTAAAACTTTGGCCACAGCTCCTTCTTGTCGGTCAGTCGAGTTTACAGAAGGACAAAAAGAAACGTCGAATTCACAGATCACAGAATCCTTACATTGTGGAAACAGGCCCTTCGTCCCAACAAGTCTGACTCTCAGGGTCCCACCTAAACCATCCGCTGAAACCAAACTAATGTATGCATCCCTGAACACTATGGGCAAATTAGCATGGCCAATCCACTTAGCCTGCGGGAAGAAAGCGGAGCACCCAGAAGAAACCCACACAGACATGGGGAGAATGTGCAAACTCCACACAGAGGGTGGAATTGAACCCGGGGCCCGGATGCTATGAGGTAGCAATGCTAACAACTGTGCATTGTGCTGCCCAAATGCAAAGCTCAAACAGTTCAGCTCTCACCTGTGGAGGAAACTTTACACTGTTCAGACTATTTATCAGAAATACCAATGCCTCTGTTTTTATAGCAATATTCTATATACTCAGCTATGGAGCATCAGGTAAGTAACAGCCTGTGATGTGGACAAAATTGAAGGTATTTTGATATTATCAGATACAGAGAAGAGTGCAATTTAGCCGATGACAACGTCTGGAACTGTACTCACTAGACACCATCTCCGAGAATATAAACTGCAATCTTAAAGACGACTAGATCATCTGTGTAACATAAACCATGCTAAATGATGTAAAAAGACGGAGGTACGGCCTAGGGGTTTAACTTCAGAAGGATGTTAGAATGCAAAGTCCAATCGTACAGTTTCGACAGTCAAGAAAAGAGAGACATAGACAGTTTTGATTTAATGTAGGACAAGATCCCTGCAGTGAGAGAGATCACAATGGACGTGACCCTCTTCAGTAAGTGAGATCACAATGACTGTGTCTGTCTCACTTTTTCTGAATCTCTGTTTCATTGCAGTTCACTGCCTGAGACTCATTTAGCCAGGTTTGTGGTCAGATTGGCATCTATTTGGCACACAACGGTTTATTAGATTAATCCAGCCTGGTGACCAGGCTAACATAAATAATTTGCCCAAAATTCAATGCGATCAGAAGTATTTATATTACTGACTGTTCTGTACATGGAAGTTTATTAGACAATCACAATGACAGACACAATTTCAGGTCGATTTTTTAACCTGCTGATTTTGTTCCTATATCTTTAAACGCAGGAAATTATTGTAACTTCATCTTCAGTGACAAAATCTGCGAAATTAGGCTGTTCTATGCAATTAGATTGCGCAATTACAATGCAAGAAATTTACACCATTTAATGGCATCATCTGAAATTGATTTATCCTTAATATTCGTTTATTAATAAAGTGGAATGAACTGAATACATACAAAGTTCTGAGGATATTTCGAAGTTTCTGAAAAGTCATACGTAACCTGAATGTAGAGAATGAAAGAGCCTACTATTGTGCGCTGAAGTGCAGCATCAGATGAATTGAAAATTTTTGACTTAAACTGTCAGCAATTAAATGCATGCTTTTTGGTTTAGGATGGTAACAGTGAGCAGACACCATGGCAAAACTCCAGTCAGTTGGACGCTTAGTAAAACTTTACATTGGCCAGAGTTATACCTTACACATTGAAGTGCTTGTTGGATACAGGTGATCTCAGGACATCACTACAGGAGTGATTCAGGGTATCATTCTACACATAACCATACTCAGCAGCTTCATCAATAACTTTCCATAAATCATAGAGTCAGAAATGAGAATGTTAGTTGATAAAGTATTTATAAATGCACTGCCATTACATGCTTCATAAAAAAGTCTAAAATTTTCCAATAACAATTTTTCTATTAACTGGTCAACAGTTACCTCTTTTAGCCTCGTTCCCTTTTCAGATCAAAGCAACAAACTGGCAGTTTTCAAATCCTCTGGGACATTTCCAGATCGAAGTATTCTGTAAGATGGCTACCACTACATCCACCATCGATGCAGCCCGTCAGATTCAGGGGACTAATTGATCTTTAGCTCCATGGATTTTCCTAATACGCTATCTCTCGTGATTGTTAATATATTTATTTCCAATCGTCCTTTGCCCTTTGTTTATTTATTACTTTTGTGATGTTAGCTTTGACTGGCAAGAATGGTGTGAAGTGCTTATTTCGCTCTTCTGCCATTTCCTGGTTCCCCATTTGTAATTTCCCATGGTTGTTCTCTGAAGGACTTATGCTTACCATTTGAGACAGTCAGATATTATTTTGCGTGTACTTAATCTGTGAATAAATCAAGGGTTACGGAGAAATGTTAGGAGAGTGAAGTTGAGGATTATCAGCTCTGCCATGATCACTTTGAATGGTAAAGAAGACTCAGTGGGCTGACTGGTCGACGAATGCTCCAACACCTCATGTGGCAGGGTTTTTAATACATAGTGGAAGCGCCTACTTTGGGAGAAAGCTGTTGCATCTAATCCAATTTAGCTGTTCTCCTATGGAAATTATGGTAATGAGCAATCATTCCAACTGACTTGATTTCCTTTCATTGTGTAAATTATTGATGTTATTTATATATCAAACCCGAAGCAACCTAACAAGTTTCCACACAGTTGCATGTTACTCAACAAAATGGTAGATTGACCACAGGCGGAGCTTTTCATGAATGTGGAAAGACAAAAACCTGATTGCAGAATTCAAATATTGCCTTCTGAAATAGATGGTATGGATATTGGAGGAAACAATACATTACATGAAATTGTACGGGCAAGTCAGTTTCAAAATTAAACAGTTACTTGCAGTGATGTTGGGTCGGAATACACATTTGGCATATTTATAGAAAAAGGGGCAGAACCAGTAGGAGAACCTTTAACAATTGCACCACATCGATAGAAGTTCACTGATCAGACATTTAGCGAGAATAGGGCCAATGGAACAGGTAGTAAGAGTTTTGGACAGGATGAGCTTTGACAGGATATGGCAGGAAATGGAAGGGAAAGTGAAGAGAAGGGCACGTCCTGTGCTCAGACAGGGAGAAACTTTTGAGGTAATTTGTCTCAGTGAGCAAGTGGAAGGGAGGGAAACTGGAGAGGGATCTGGTCAGATTGTCTCAATCTTCGTGACAAAGAAACTCCTTGCTTTCCTTGTCCATGTTGTTGGAGTCAGGATGAAGGACTCAGGAGAGAGGGAGACAGCTGCAAAAATAATAATCTTGAATTTGATCTTAAAATGAATCACCACACTCTGCAATTTAAACACACTGGATTTATTTGAAACTCAGAATATTAACACTTCTAACTGAGCTGGATTTTATTAAAATCAACACAAACAGACCTGAATGAACATAAATCAGTTCTACATGTGATTAACAGCAAAATCCTATGACGAGAACTAATCGTGGTATCATTGGTGTCTCATCAGATAGGATGAATGGGCACATTTATTTTCACACATGGAACAGGCATATAGTCTCTCCACAGTGTGAACTCTCTGTTATGACCAAAAGTAAGATGATTGAGTTTTTTTTTTCTTCTGACACAGGGAACAGGTGAATAACTTCTCCCCAGTGTTAGTGCGTTGATATAACTTGAGTTCAGATGAGTTCTTGAACCCAGCCTCACATTGAGAGCACTTGAATGGTCCCTCATCTGTGTGAACACTCTGGTGGCGTGCCAGTTGCCCATAAGTTGTCAAACACTTCTCACAGTCTATATAGTTGTAAATTTTCTCAGTACTATGAGCACACTTATGTCTCAGCGAGTCAGACAAACTCACAAATCCCTTCTTACAACCAGAGTGAATGCCTCTCCCCACTGTGAACTTGTCGGCGTTGCAAAAGTGATCTGAGTGAATTAATCCATTTTCACAAACGGAGCACAGGAGCAGCCTCTCCATAGTGTGACTGCGCTGACGAATTTCCAGCTTACATGGCAAACTAAATGTCTTCTCACTCTCCCCTTATTTACGAATCTTCGCCCTGCCATGACTGCACTTGTGTTCAGACAGGCGAGTTGATCAGATGAAGCCTCGACTCCACATACAGAGCATATATGCGGTTCCTCTCCACTCTGAGAGCTGTGTTTTCCTTACATGGTCAAAATCCAATAACATCCTGATTATGATAGATCGTACAATTTCATCAGATCCTGATGAGACGTTTGGATTGAGTTTATCAACTGTGAATGCTCACACTCGAACACACTGTGAGAGTGATTTAAAATAGAAGAGAAGGAGTGAGCGAGATGGCACGATAAACATAAAGACAGCATGCATTACTGAGCTGAATGAAACTGATGATTTTGGGGGATGGCATGAGGAAAATGTGACGTTGATCACAACTGGTTCGCTGAAGTTCTTCAGAGAAGTGAGATGACCACATTTCTGGAATCAGAGATGAAGTGTGAGTAAGAGGTGGGAGCTACAAATAGTATATCTACAGCGTGACAAGAACTTCTCAAACCCTTATACTTCTCCATCTCGAATGATAAGAGCAGCAGGATCAAGTAAACATCTCTAAATTCAGGAAGGTGCTGATCTGCTCGAAACTAGCTAGCTTTAGACATAAAAACTTGGAGCAGAATTAGAAAATTCAGCCCTTTGGAGTTCCTTCGCCATTCAATGTGATCACGATTGATGTTTAATTATGATGCTTAATGTTATATTTTCAATTTCTCCCCTAACTCCTTGATGCCTTTAAATTCTAAACATTTCTAATATCCAAGTAAGCTATTCCTCAGTGGCCAGGGCCCACAGATTGCGTGATGGAGAATTCCACAAGTTGACCACTCCGAGTGAAGAAATGTTTCCTCACCTCAAGCTTTAACGGCTAACCCGCTAACCTGTGTCTGTGAATCCTAGTTCCTGAATCTACAACCAGGGAAAACAACCGCCCTGCATCTGGTCTGTCTAGCCTTACTGGAGTTTGATATGCTTTCAATCAGATACATTCTTATCCTGACAAATTCAAGTGAATACAGGCCCAGTCAAAACAATCTCTTCTCAAAGGATTTCCTGCCATCCCCACTATCAGCCCAGCAAACATTTGCTGCACTCCGTCAATGATAATCATATCCTCTCATCAGCAGGCAGATAAAAACTACACACAATAATCCAGGTACAGACTGAACAGGGCTGTGTCGAACTGCAGTAAGACATCTTTACTTCTGCTCTCACATCCTCTTGCAATGAGCGACAACATACTATTTCCCTTCTTAATTGTTTGCTGCGACTTCATATTTACTTACATTTTCTGGTATGGACAAAATATCCAGATTCTTTTGTCTATCCACATTTCTCAATGTATCACCATTTCAATCATTCTCTGCCGTTTTGCTTTGCACAAAGCGTATCATTTCACATTCATCCACTCTTTATTGCAGCTGCTGTGTGACTTTTCACTTAATCAACTTGTCTACAACAACGTGGAGCCTTGCAAACTTCCCGAGACTCACAATTCCATCTAGTGATGTATCAGCAGCAAACATGGTAACTTTAGCATCTGTTTCCCTCATCCAAGCACTGGAAGTACGAAAAGTTCTTCCAAATAAATATTGATTCAGTTATTTATCTTTTATACAAAGGACAGCAGAAATTGGGAATGAAACGGAACAATGATGAAAAGAGGCTCAGCAGATCTGGCAGAATCCATAGAGAAAGAAACCAAGTTACCGTTTCAGCTGTGTTAACTGGGGGTCAAAAGGCAAATATGTCCTGCCCAAGTGAGCACCTTCTGCATGGTCAGGTGCACTATCTGCTTGGAGCGCAGGAAAAATACAACCGTCTGATACATTTTAGCTGCAGCGACGATGGCCGTGGCCGACCACACTAGCCATGGCTTTACTGCAGGCTCCGCTAGTCATATGTAGGTTGGGGTTAGGCCTTGAACCATAAACCGGATAAAAGGGGGATGGATTCGCCTCTGGAGCTGAAGCAGCCAAGCCTAAGGCCACAGCTACCCTGGCATAGGTGCGGCTGGGGCCTGCTGCTTTGATGTTGGTCATGTTTTCTGCTGAATGGTCCAAAGTGTCTTCTTCCTGATTGGATTCAGGCAACAGCAGCAGTCTCAAGTTCCAACACAGCCAGGCTACATCAAAATTCCAAGCTCTCGAAGGCCCAGGCAATGGTGGCAATAGTGCTAGCTGTTTTGAAGGCCCAGGTGGTGGCAGCAGATCCGGGCGTGGCCCAGATGACAGCAACAGAAAGAGCAGATGTGGAAGGCCTAGATGACGATAGTGGCAGCAGCAGCCGAGACAGAAGGGCTAGGTGATGGCAGTGGCAGTAGCAGAGGACGAAGGCTGGCAGGGTCAGCATCAAAACGAGGTAGATCCAAGCGGCAGCAATGGCAGAACCGAGAATTCCTGGGTAGGAGCAGAACTGAGGTACCAGGCAACAGCAGATCCGGGACGAGGGGGTGTCCAGGCCGCAGCAGCACTAACAAAACCGGGGTCCAGTCACTAGCAGCAGAACCAGACCCAGGAAGCCACAGATCCGGGGGAAGCACAGACAGTAGCAGCAGCAGAATTTGGGGCCCAAGCAGCAGGAGCATGAGTTGGCCCAGGAAGTAGGAGTCGACTAGAGAGGCCCAGGTCGCAGCAGCAACAGAACCGGGTCGGACAAGGCAGCAGTAGTAGCAGAACTAAACCAAGGCAGCAGCGGGAGACCCAGGGAGGCCCAGAATACAGCAGTAGAGTTGCGTGGGCCCAGGCAGCAGCAGTTGTAATAGTAGTAGCAAAAGTGTCAGTGGCAGTGTAATGACTCAACAACGCAAAAATAGAGAGTATTGAAAAGAAATCTTCTTCCTGTATAGTACATTGACTATGGCCAAGTGGTCCTAGTCAGTCCCCGGAACTGAGGAGATTCTTAAACCTCTGTTTTCATATATATTTCTTTCTTTTCACAAAGTGGAAGAGAATTTTATTATACATTTCCAGCACAAGGAAAACACCCAGGCAGTCAGTGAAGCAGCGACAAGCAAATCTTACAACAAGCAGACGTATGCTAAAGCAAAAGTGAAGGAGCAGAGATCGAATGAAGTTATATTTGATTCCCCCCCTCCCCACCCCACGTCCCCAGGACGTCCTAGAACGCCCTGAATGACTCCACAGTCAACCGCCCATATCCATGGACCTCCCCTAGAGAGCCAGTCGAGGTCTCTGGTCAGTTCCTCAAAAGTCACAGGAGTGTAGAAACTTCTGGCTTCATCTGGGCTCAGCTGTGGCATGTCCTCCCATCGAACTCTGACAGCATCTTCACCGGAAGGATCCGGAGAGAACAGAGTGTGTAATAGTCATGAAACCGTCCCCGAAGCCATCTGGATCCGAGATGAAAGACCTGCTATCCAACAGCAGCTCCAGTAAGTAGAAGAAGGGGAAGCCACAGTCCAAGTCCTAGAGGAGCCGGATCTGCAAACGCACTACGTGCCCCATGCCCTGAAGAGCTGCAAGTCCAGGAGTGAGGCCTTCTTTTCTTCATACAACCCTCGCAGGGCGGGGTCCGCGTCAAGCTGACTAAGACGTTACTCCAGGTTGAGGACCTCCTTCTTCATCTCCCCGTTCCTCGATTTCCGCCTCTTTGTCGACCCCCTCGCTCCTTGGCCCTGGGGGAGAACCTTTTCCCTGAGGAGCCAGGCATCATGGTGTCGGGAGAGGAGGGGAATGCCGAATCACTGGCGTCCAATGACGCAGAACTTGAACAGTTCTTGATGGAGTGCATTATGGATGTCCCTGCTGCCTCAAGGAGCGGAAGACCCTTTGCTTCCTTCTCCAGCCTTTCCAGAACTGACCGGAACCGTCCGCCATCCAGCAACAAGTTGTTGAAGTGTCAGTCTGCTAACCTGAGCCGGGTGCCAAATGGAAGTTGCTCTGCTCATGCTAGGTGATGGTCCATGCACAGCACCTACCGCGTGGAGACCACTGGAATGCAGAAGGCGCATGTGCACGAAATGTACAGACAGTCAATCCTCCATGCTCAGACCCCAAGCCTCACAAAGGTTAAGGTGTTCGAGTCAGGATGGAGATTTTACCAGACATCCACCAGGGCAAAGGACGTGACCATTCCCCCAACCTCCTCCCCGACACCAAACCAGTTCGGACACCACCATGATCCCTGTCCTCGAAGATACAGTTAAAGTACTCTCCAAGGAAAATGCACTGGACTTCATCATTGGATCCGAATTGAGTGGACACTGCTCTGTAGAAGGGCTTTTGCCTTGGCCAGACTGGGGGAGAGTATGAATTCGTGAAGTGAAGCACTGTGTCCCCCAGTCACACTGTCAGGTGAAGAAAATGAGCTGGCACAGGCCCCTTGACCCCCAAGATATCCAGCTCAAAATATGGGGCCAACAAGATAGCCACCCCGCCGATTTGTTGGTGATATAACTCATGTAGACTCCTCTCTGCCACTCCAGGAACAAGGTGGTTTCGTGTCCCGGCGCCGTATGGGTTTCTGGCAGGAAACACACCACAAAATTCTCATCCCAAAGGACTGAGAATTTAAGGAATCTGCGTTATGATTCCCTGCTGCCGTTAATGTTGATGTTGGTTATGGTAGTCTTCATATCAGCAGTAATGTGCAACCATCACCAGTGAAACAGTTAAAAAAAGTACTGGGAACATTTACTGGGAGGACGGGAAAGGAGCATACAGGTCCGTCGCATTCTCTGTGAGTGCATTGAGTAATGCACAGAACTGCCACCATTTGTTACGGGCCAACCCTGGTGCATGCTAATCTGCCCAGGTGGACCAGAATACTGGCTCAATAACTTTCCAGCTGTCGAGAGCTACCTGGTCTCTATCTTGATGACCACGAATGTCCTTCAAACATACCCAGAGCTTGATGAAGGGTCTAGGCCCGAAACGTCAGCCTTTCTGCTCCGATGATGCTGCTTGGCCTGCTGT